GTACTTTTGCACACAGCTCAGCCTCCGCCTATGCCACACAGTCTTATTTCTCGGGGGCATCTATGTTTGCAGGCGTGAATGCTAAAGGCCTCGCTATGGACAGGCTGTGACAAGAATAATCTTCCCCAGTGGAAGCCCCAGAAACGCACAAGATGAGAGTGAGGAGCAGGCCGGCTGCTTGGCATGACATCTTGGTAGATGGTGGGTGATCCTCTCTGGTGTCCACTTGTCTTGTGTAGTGATGACACAGGATCTGGGCACAGGGCTGAGGGGGAGAGATGGAAAGAAACGGTGTTTCTAGAGGGGCGTGTGTGAGTGCTGTCCAGATAGACACCCCAGAGTTGGGCCAGAATAATCAGGAGGTGACCTGCCATTAAGGACTATTGGCTTTCTTCTTGACCTCGACCTTGTATTGAGTTGGCTCCAACCAGTGAAGTCCTTGACTGGGGTTTGAGCTGCTCAACTTTCATTTTCATTTGAAAAATGATCTATCCATCCATGGGTCTGCTGGTGGACAGATCTGTATCTCCTAGGGAGGCTTTATTTGATTTTAGATGCAGTTAGGCAGTTTTGGGGAGAGGTCCCCAGGCAGCTTGCTTGTATAAGAGCCAAAGTGTATGTGTTTGTTCAGCAGAGAGAGGGGGGTTCAGCAGAGAAGGCCTCTCCACTCTCCCTTGACAAGGAAATAAACAAGATGAATAAACCCTAATCCTGACCTGGAGGCACTTCCCAATAAAGATCTAGGTTAAATTTTCCTGCCGATGCAACCCTTGAGTTCACTGTAGGAATTAGACAGTGCGTGGCCCTAATTTGCCAGATCAGATTGTGTAATTACCTTTTATAGGCCTGGGTGTGATGTGTGATGTGTGCTGGCTGTGGGTGCTGCAGGGGGCTGAGTGTGTGTGTTTGGCCTCAGAGGAGCCGCTTCTCCCCAGGCGGGGCTGCAGCTGCTGGAGCTGAGCCTCTGACCCGTGGGGCTCAGGCCCTGGGTGCCTGCATGGAATTGGCTCGTGACAGAGCCAGTGCGCAGTGGGGGAGGGTCTGCCGGCTGGGGAGGGGTGTCTTGGAGAAAGAGACTGTGGGGGCTGAGGAGCAAGCAGTGTTGGAGTTTGGCAGGAGGTAGCAAATTCAGGGCTCAAATACGTGTCCATGCCCTCGTACTCTCATCTGTATGGGTTCTTCCCCCTCCAATTAAAAAATACTCGTAGGGTTGAGCCTCCAACAGCTTGAGCTGGGACTGTGTGTTGCACTTGTATGCGGATATTTTTGTAAACAAATGTAAATTTCCCATATGGATGAATCTGCTCCGTTGCTGTCAATGTATTTTCTCTTTTGTGATTTTCTTCATAGCGTTTTCTTTTCTCTAATTTGATTTAGCGTAAGAACACAGTATGTTTTTTATATACGTATATAAAACGTTCAAAATGTGCTCATGACTGTTTTCGCTTCCTCTTGGCAGCAGACTATGAGTCGTTAAGTTTTGGGGGAGTCAAAAGTGATGCACAGATTTTCGACTCTTGGGACATCGGCCTCCCTAACCCCCGAGTCATCCCAGGGTCAACTGTATTAAAAGTGATATTTTGTAAGTGCGCTGTGATAAGGTCATTCAGTATTATATAGGCATTAATATTATAATTTGATTACCATTTAATTCCTGCTGATTTTAAATGAAATCAGAACATTTCTCGGCCTCCTGTGTCCTGTGGGCCTGCCCCCTTTGGGCGATCCCTCCAAAAGGGATCTGGGGGTGTGACCTGCTCACAGCTCTGGGGCTTGTCTTGCAGATGGCCCTCTGATCACCACCCATTCAGAAGGTTCAAGAATTCACTCCCACCACAGACCTTATTTTGGCCAAAAGGGGAGGGGAGCTCTGGCTGATGGCACAGAAACCCCAAGCCCTCCCTGAGTTCCCCCCCATGTCCCTCTGAGTCCTCCTGTTGCACGTCCTGCCCAGTCTCTGGCAGCCTGAGGCTGTGTGTGCTCCGTGCCTTGCACGTAGATGGTGCACAGCCTGGAGGAGGTGGCCAGTGTGGGGCTGAACACGCTCTAGGCTGATGTTTTCCTGGGACCTCACCTGCTTGGACTTCTGCTCCTCGCTTGGCCAGAGGACCCAGGAGGACCCCACCCTTCTGTCTGGGCTGGAGGTGGCTGGGCTGAGAATCACTAGGTGGTGTTTGGCTCAAGACCTCCCGTGAAGATGTGTGGAAGGAACCCGCGGGAGGGGTGTGGTAGGAAGGGAGGGACCTTGGGGCAGGCTGTGGGTAGCCGGGTGCAGTCCTGGCCTCCCGCAGAGGACTGGGGTCGGGTGTGGTGTGCGGCTCTTGGCCTGTTTCCGACAGTGTCACCCACTCCCTGTCCTGCTGTCATCACCATGACGATGGCAAAGGCAGGGGTGGGGAGCTGTGCACGCAGCCAGGGGAGGGCCGGCTGGCTGGCGTGGAGCCATGTCCATGGACAGGCAGGCAGGATCCTGGGTGGCCCTCCCTCTCCTCTGCCCAGGAGGCTGTGCCAGCACCCGAGCATGGGGCAAAGAAACCTCTCCTGGTTTTAAGGAACCTTTGGCGGTTCTCAGAAGTGTGTTTCAGGCTGCAGCTGGGCTTGCCTGGAGCTGGATTCTGGCAAGCAGGGGAGGGGGCCGCAGCCTCGTGGGGGGTGAGTGCTGTCCCTCTCATCCGCTGCAGGGTTCAGCCAGCCAGACTCAGGGTCTCCTGGAGAAGGGGTTCCCACCCCAGCAGGGGGAAGCCCTGGCTGGCCCGGGGGCATCGCAAGGGTCTCTGAGGGGACACCTTTCTGTGTCCTTGCCACTTGGAGTATGTTGGGTGGACGGCGGGCCCAAAAACTTGTTAGAAATGTGGATTCTCAGCCGCCCCTTTAGACCCACTGAATTCAGATTTTAATAAGATCCCCAGATGATCCTCAAACCTTGCTGCATATTAGGCTTTCTTGTGGAATTTAAACAACAACAAAACCCCCAGTGCCCAGGCCTCACCCTGTATCAATAAGAATCCCTGGGGTTCGCATTCTGGCCGAAGGGTGATTTCACAGCTGCCCGGGGAGGAGACAGATTGGAAGCTCTGGCTGTAAAAGGCCCCAGTAGGATTTAAAATAGCCCCCCTCCAGCCTCCCATCCCCTCTCCCCAATTTCTGCCCCTAAATTGGCTGGATTGAAATGTCATGGGAACAGGGGAGAGTTAGATTGACTTATGTTAAAAATCATGTCAGCCCTGGAGGGGTAAGTCTGGAACCATTTCTATTCATTTGGGCTTTAGACTGAATGAGTTTATTAGATGCTTTCCTCCTAGTAAATAATAATACAAAAAAATAATTTCCCCCTAATAAGCTGAGAACAGGTTGGCCTTATGTGAAGTAGGAACAGGAGCCAGAATCCGTCCTGTATGCTTGGGCTGGCATAGGAGCGTAGCTGAGGTTTTGCTTGCTTCCTTTTTATTTATTTTTTATGGTCACCATCGGCGCTTATCAGCTCACAGAACTCGGGAATATAGTAAGCAAAACTTGGTGGAACTGCACGGAGAAATGCACCCAATGCACAGTTGCAGCTGGAACGTCACAATCCTCTCCCGGCAGTTGATAGTAATAGTCGAAAGGAAGCCGGGTGGGGTCCAGAATCGAATGCTTGACCCATTGACACGCCGAGAGACTCCCCTAAAACATCAGAATTCACCTTCCTTTCCAGTCCACAGGAACATTTTCCAATGTTCTGAAAAATACTAAAACACTTGTGTTTTCAGGACAAACACTTGTCCTGAAAAATACTAAAAAATGTGCCTCTTTTGGGCGAGTTTCCCAGCATTTACAGGTCATCTCAGTCCTGAGGATGGTGGGGTCACTGGGGCCAAAATTGCCAAGTCCTCTTCCTTGTCGTCAAGGGCCCTATCCTGCTTTTGGGGGTGGTCCTGGGGTATGTCTGGGCGGATAGCAGGAGCTGGGCCCAACAAACGTGTCTCCAGCATGGGGAGACGGGTCCTGGGGCATGGGGCACCCCAATCTGCTGGCTCTGGGTGCCAGCCAGGCCCCTGCCCTCGATAACTCCAGACCCCATGGAGGGATGTCTGGGTCCCTGCAGCGAATGAACAAAACGCCACCCAGACAATCCTTCCTTTTGTGAGTGAAGGTTACAAGTTTTCTGTTTCAAATCTGATGGTATCGATTTCCTCCTTTTTCTTTCTTCTCTCTGTTTTTATTGCCAACTGAAGGATCTGGAATGATTCCTTTGAGCCTAATGATGGGGAAGCTTAGAATGGGACTATTATCTTTCCACACCTTTTGAAACATTACTCTTCCTGGTGTCTGAATTAGGTTGAAAAGAGGTTGGATTTAAAGATTAAATATCTATTTTAGCAGCAAGGACACTGATAACTGCACATTTGCTTGGGAGTTACATGGATGCTACGGGACAGCCTGTCCCCTAGACATGCAGGGGGGTCGTGAATTAAAGCACAGCCTGACAGTGGCCAAGTCCCAGCTAGACGCTTCTCATGCATTATCCCGATTAATGAATTCTGATTCGTTTTTTCATAACGCCAGAACTTATAAAAATTCAGAAATTGCATCCTAGGGGACTTGGAGTAAAAAGCACCCCTAAGACAGAATGACTCGAGTATGGCAGTGGATTAATTTTACAATAAGGGCCCATTGTGGATTTAAGTTTTGTTATAACTTGAAAAAATATGCTATTTGGTCTAATATCCATTTACCTCTTTGTGTGTGGAGGCCTGGCTGGTGGTGGGGATGACCTGGATTTACTTCTCTGGGCATGTTCTTCGATTTGTGATAACTGACATGTGATAACTGACACAGGAAGTGGGTTTCCCCCTTTATTCTGCATGGGTATAGTTTTATCCTATATCGAAGCATAAACAACTCTAAACGCCTGGGTCCGCAGGAGGCTGCCTGACACTGAGGCCCCGCCCCCTGTATCGTGCATTTGAAGATGAGCCTCAGTTTACTATTCCTGGTATAACTCCCCCCTCTCTTTCTAGGTGAAATCGGCAGTTCCTGGCTGAGCTGGGAGATGCTTGGAAGCAAGAAAGAAGGACGGGAGAAAAGGTGAGTGGTACAGCCCCCAGCTACAGCCCTGCTGTTCCCCCCACTCTGGGGGTCTTGGGTCGCACGTCCCCCATGCACCTGCCTGTCGGCCTGGAGTGGCCACGGCAGTGGATTCGGGCAGCTGTGTTCACACAGCTCTACTCAGATGGACATTTCCCGTCTTTCAACTAGCAGGTGGGCCCTGTTCTATCCACCCCGCAGATGAGGAAACTGAGGTGTGGACACTCGGACAAGGTGGCCAGTAAGGGATTCAGATAACTCAGGGGCCCCATCAGTGCCCTGTGCTTGCCTTGCCAAGTGGCAGTGAGTTTCCCCAGCACTTTGTGGGCACCGGTCAGTCCTGCCTCTGCTCTCGGCATGCAGGGGCTGGTCCCAGGCCCACAGGGGCCCACGGGAGCAGAGTAGAGCACAGTGCTGGGTGCGCGCTCAGAGCCTGCGGGTCTAGGAGGCTCAGAAGCACTTGGGGTGCACCTGCTGACTGATTAAAGGAGGTCTCAGCACTTCCTATAATGCTGCCAATGAAGCCAGGTCCTACTGAGGCAGGATGGGGGGCGAGGGGCACTCTCTGTGCCAGGGCTGGCTGTGTCTGTGGACCCCCCTCAGCTGGCATTGACTTCACCTGGCACATGACCTCACCTGGCACAGGACTGCACATATAATGTTGGCTGGGCCCCAAAAATGGATGGGGTTTGAGGGGGGCTTGTCTTCTGTGATTTGGGTGTTTTACCCCAAACTTCTTTTACTGCTCAGTCAGGAAACTGCTCCGGCGATGGTGGGGGTTACCTGCTCAGAGGAACCCTGGAGTCAGGGTGCTCTCTGCTGTTGTCTGTGTCGGGGTGACTGGCGGGCTGTGGGTGGGGGTGTTAATGAGTGACTCCAGGGGAATTCCAGGCATTTTGTGGGCACTGCCTTTCTGAAAACAGCCAGCTGTCCACCCTCCCCAGGGACCTCGGTCTGAATGCCAGCTCATGCCATAAGCTGCATGGCTCCTAGTGACTCCCGCCCGCATCATTCATTCATTCATTCATTCATTCATTCATCATTCGTTCATTCACTGGCTCACCTAACAGAGCCTTTCGCTGCCCCTTTGTTCTAGGCAGAGAATACAGCTCTGTGCTCATGGAGTTTGCCTTCCAGTGGGGGCAGAGTAGACGAAAATAGTAAATGAGTCAAGAATCGAGAAGGTGACGGTGTTGTGAGAAGAATTGGAGGCCGGGACAGGACAGGGAGTGCAGGTGGCGCTGGCGGGAGTGGGGGCAGGTCACAGCGCTGGCAGGGCACGTGCCATTGAGAGGTGCCCTTTAGCTCCGGCTTGAAGCAGGTAAGGGAGCCAGTGGTCCCGAGGACATCAGGGGAAGAGCTTTGGGCAGAGGGGGCAGCCAGGTCAGGGCCTGGGCCGGCGCTCACTTGGTGTCTGTGAGGACCAGGTGCCTGTGTGGTTGAGCAGGGGCGGGGCTGAGCCTCTGGGAGAGGGGCCGGTCAGGGAGAGCCTGGGAGGACTTGGGCTTTCCCTCCGAGAAAACTGGGGGCCACAGCAGGGTTTTCAGGCCAGCGAGCGGTGATCCAGCTTAGCAGAGTCAGGTGCAGAGGGCACGAGGGGCCGGGCAGCTGAGGGGTGAAACGCCAGATGAAAGGGATATCGAGGGTGCTGCTTCCTCTCTACCCACGCAGGTGTGGCAGCGGGATGGCCTTCTTGGTGTGATGAGCTGGAAATCCAGGATGCCATTTCTCAGATCCTCTTCCATTTGGTGTCGTGTTAACATGAGGGCTGGTCTCCTCCCCGTGTGCCCGCAAAGCCCACACGGGGCCCATCAGCAGGCTGCAGGTGCAGCAGAGAGACTAGAAGTGACGGGGCAAAAATAAAGGGTGTCGGGAAGGTTGATGGGGGGAGAGAGACCAGAGTCTCTGTTCCTTGTTCCCAATCCACTGTGTGGGGCAGTGAGGCCACACTGCCCCGTCAGGGGCATGCTCACACTGTGGAAAGGCTAACGCTGCTCATGGTCAACCTTCCAGACCTCCCTGAAGTATGTTGGGGGCTCTCCTTGTTCTCTCACAGCCTCCTTGCCTTCCTGCCTCTGCCCCCTGAGAAGGTGGACTTGACATCTGCAGGAATGCATGCAGGCAGGCTCGCTCCTCTGTCCTCCCGTCCTGCCGTCCCAGCGATGTCCAGCAGGCCAGGCCGAGTGAGCTGCCAAGCTCACCTCTGGACCTGGCTTGGAGGTTGTCAGCCCCATGATGGCAGGTGCACTGGGATCTGGACTCAGTCTGGGGCCTTCTCTGTCACTCCCGTGTAATGGTGGAAGAGTCAGCTGAGGACTGTGGCCAGGACCTCCTCCTTGGTGAGGCCTTAGAAATGTGTGCACGCTCCACTAGAAACACCCAAAGAAAGGAACAGCCAGGGGGCGGAGTGGAGTCTGTATATTTCTCCCCAGCTTGGGGGACCCCAGGAGCTCCTGGACCCCCATCTGCATGCGGACACTCTCCTACCTGGTACCTCCACCCTTCTGCTCCCAGACCCTGGCCCGCAAGGGTGGCCCGATGGCTGAGTCCACGTGGCTCTAGCAGTAAAACAGGAACATTCCCCGAGTGAGCTGCCTCCTTGCAAAGGACTGTCGCAGCCTCTGCCTGTTGGCCCCAAAGGCTCCTGTGTGACGTCATTAGGGCAAGTACTATTTTTACAGATGAAAGATCGGCCCCCTGCGAGCACCCTCATCCCCAGCGCCACCCGTCGTGTGTGTGGTGTGTAGGGCAGAGACACTGCGGCCGAGATGATGATTTTTGCTCCAACCACAATTGAGAGTGAAAACCGGGGCTCTGGGAGGAAGAAGCAAGTGGCAGTGCTGAGCAGCAGTGGGGATGACCTCACCCCGGGGATGGGAGCCGTCCAAGGGACTCGCAGACGGAACTTCCCCTCGGGGCCCAAATGTGACTCACTGTGGCTGGCGTCCCTGCAGCCGGCTCCCTCCCAGGCCTCCCCTTCGCTGTGGGACATCGTGATCACCGGTCAGGCCTCATGACTCACTGGGTCTCCGAGCCAGCCCTGGGGGTGGAGTCTGTCTCTCTTGGCATCTGGACCCTGGGTGCTGTGGACACGCGGCTGAGATGCTGTGTGCGGGACGTGCAGGGAGGGCAGGCCCTGCGCGCTCCCCAGGCCTCTGTGCAGCTGCGGGTGTCAGCGCCCGGTGTGCACAGTCCGGGGTGGCAGCAGGGGGGTGCTCAGAGCTCAGGCAGAAGCAGCCTGAGCTGCACCCAGACACCTGGGAGGCAGCGAGGGGCTCCCTGCCCTCCCACCCAGACGCCAGTGGAGTTCACCCAAAAGGCCAGCGACTGGCAGGGTGTCGGGTTTCCTGCCACACCCCGGCTCAGCCACTGCTGTCATTTCTCAGTCTTGGTTTTCATCTTCTAAGGATAGAAATAGTGTCATCTCTTCTCAACCTGTCAGTCTCACACCTGCCGGAGCCCCTGGGGGAGACATCCAGGGCCGGCCTACCTGATGTCATCTGTGTTTATTGTCTGTTTTAGAAACCAGGTAGCAGGAGGGACTTTCTGAGGATTAACAAAAAGTTAATCCCTGTCCTATTTCAGTGTGGGTTTTTTTTCCCCCTCCTTCTGTTTCATGTTTTATTTTTTTCTCTTTCCTAATTTCTCTTTTGTAAAAAAAACATCTTTTTCTGGTTGCAAGACCACAGGAGAGAGGGCAGGAAAACTTTGACGACAGGTTTGTGAGTTTCTTTTCCCAGATTTGGTTTCTGTCCTGTCCTTCCCCCCATGGGAGCTCCAGGCCCCTGGGGGGCTTGAGCAGAGTCCAGAAAGAGCGTCAGCAATCCTGGGACTCAGTTTACCTGCGTTCAGCCTCTGTCCTTTCCAAGAGGGATGCAGCTGCATCCCTTCTGTTCTTTGTTTCCCGGTAGGGTTCTAGGAAGATAGGGTTGCAAGACTTAGGACACAGGTCAAAGGCGACGCAGGCCTAACCCTGCCCCAGGCCTTACCCCACCGCAGGCCAGGGTGCCCACCGAGGCCCCCTCTCTCTGACACCTCTGCTCTCTGGAAGGTGTGGGGTGGAAGGAGCAGGGCGGAGGCTGGCTCACGGGATGCTGCTTGGCCCAGACAGCAAGGGCCAGGCCCCTGGGTTGGTCCACCTGAAAATGGGTAGTTGAAGGTCTGGGCATGAGCGTTAGCTGGTCAGGTGTGAGAGCTTGTGTGAAGGGTTCAGCCTGTGGGTGACTCAGTCTGCCAGCAAACTATAAAAGGGAAGTGACTCACTTTCAACCCTAAGAACTCCTAAGGCCAGGCCGCCAGCACCTGTCTGGGACGAGGTTAGTTATTAACAGCCAGGGTGTCACGGGAACCGGACACGGCCCTGGCGCGGGGAGCAGCCTGACTGCTTGCAGCTTGGCCCCATCCTCGAGCCTCCACAGGCCTCCTCTCTGGCCTGGCCCCACAGGCAGAGGATGCCAGTGAGCTCTTAGCAGTGGCAGCCTGTCCCAAGGTGCCCCTCAGAGACGTCCATGCCACAGGGGATGAGGAAGGAGAGAGAGATGGTTTGGAAGATCAGGTCCGAGGACCCTGAATCTGGGCATTCCAGAGTGGGCTGGGGCTGGGCGGTGCCGCCTGCAGGGGCTGCCCCTAGCATTCTGCTTCCTGGGGCTCAGCGCCCCTCCAGGGAATGCCTGTAGTGCAGTGGGCTACCCACCCCAAAGAAACTCTGACCTGCTGACCCCTGGCCCTAGAAGGAGCTAGCATTCTTCCAGCTCCATTCTGCTCTGGAGTGGCCTGGGCTTCCATGAGGAGGCCTGAGACAGCTTCGTGAAACGAGGACCCAGCTCTGAGAACCCCCACAGAGAGGGCTGGGGGGTTGAGCAAAGCTCAGATCAACTCTACTTTCTCCTCTCTCTCTCCCTAGAGTTCACAACAGGCACCTTCTCCTGACCCCCTAAGCAGGCATCACTGCTCACAAGCCTGGCCTGTCCCCACCAGGCCCACGTCCTTCCTCGTCCAAC